GGAACTACAGGCGGGAGTCATCAGACCCAGCTAATTTTTGTATTTTAGTAGAGATGAGATTTCGCCATATTTGCTGGGGGGGTCTTGAACTCCTGACCTCAACTGATCCACCGACCTCAGCCTCCCAAAGTGCTGGGATTACAGGCACGAACCACTGTACCCAGCCTATTTTATTATTTTTAATAGCATATAGAGTGACATTTTGATACATGTATATAATGTATAATGATCAAACAAGGTACTTAGCATATCCATCACCTGGAACATTTATCATTTCTTTGTGTTGGGAACATTCCAAATCCTTTCTTATAGTCTTTTGAAAATACACAAGAAATTATAGTTAACAGGGCTCACCCTACAGTGCAGAACAGCAGGATCCATTCATGCTATGAAGCTGGAATTTTGTATTTGTTATCCGACTCCTCTGAATCTTTCCCTACTCTCTAATCTTTCCAGCTTCTAACACCCACTATGCTTCTATTTCCATGAGCTTGGTTTTTTAAATATTTTACATAAGAATTAGTACATAAAATATTTATCTTTCTGTTTCTGGCTTCTTTCACCTAACATAACGTCCTCTAGGCTCATCCATGTTGCCACAAATAACAAGATTTATCTTATCAGTTTGTTTATTTCTTTGAGACAGGGTCTCGCTCTGTCTCCCAGGCTAAGTGCAGTGGTGTGATTGAAGCTCACTGCAGCCTCCACCTCCCAGGCTCATGTGGTCCTCTGGCTTCAGCCTGCCAGGTAGCTGGGACCACAGGCATGTTACCATGCCTGGCAAATTTTTAAATTTTTTTTTGAAAGATAGGGTCTTGCTATATTGCCCAGGCTGGTCTCAAACTCCTAGGCTCAAGCGATCCTGTCACCTTGGCCTCCCAAAGTGCTGGGATTACAGGCGTGAGTTACTGCACCCAGCTAATAGTTTTTTTTTTTTTTTTTTTTCCTGAGACAGGGTTTCACTCTGTCACCCAGGCTGGAGTGCAGTGCCACAGTCTCGGCTCACCTCAGCCTCCGCCTCCCGGGTTCAAGCAATTCTCCTGCCTCAGCCTCCTAAGTAGCTGGGATTATAGGCGCCTGCCACCACACCTGGCTAATTTTTGTATTTTAGTAGAGATGGGGTTTCACCATGTTGGCCAGGCTGGTCTCGAACTCCTGATCTCAGGTGATCTGCCCGCCTCGGCCTCCCAAAGTGCTGGGATTACAGGCTTGAAACACCACGCCTGCCAACAGTTTATTTTTAAATGGCTCAATAATATTCCATCATGTTTATATACCACATTTTCTTTACATATCAATCTACTGATGGACACTTAGATTGCTTCCATATCTTAGCTATTATAAGTAGTACAAAGGCACGAATAACCTACATTGGGGAAAGGACAGTCTTTTCAATAAATGGCACTGGGCAAACTGGATAAGCATGTGAAGAAGAATGAAAACTAGACCCCATCTCTCACCACACACAATAACCAACTCAACACGGATTAAAGACTTCAATGTAAGACCTCAAACTAGAAAGCTACTAGAAGAGGCCACTGCAGTGGCTCACACCTGTAATCCCAGCACTTTGGGAGGTCAAGGTGGGCAGATCACTTAAGGTCAGGAGGTCTAGACCAGCCTGGCCAACACAGTGCAACCCCATCTCTACTAAAAATACAAAAAGTAGCTGGGCGAGGTGGCACACGTCTGTAATACCAGTTACTCGGGGGGGCTGAAGTAGGAGAAATGCCTGAACCCAGGAGGAGGAGGTTGCAGTGAGCCGAGATCACACCACTGCACTCCAGCCTGGGCAACAGAGCAAGACTCTGCCTTAAAAAAAAAAAAAAAAAAAAATTGGGTGTGGTGGCTCACACCTGTAACCCCAGCACATTGGGAGGCTGAGGCGGGCGGATCACCTGAGGTCAGGAGTTCCAGACCAGACTGTCCAACATGGTGAAACTCCATCTCTATTAAAAGTATAAAAATTAGGCCGGGCGCAGTGGCTCACGCCTGTAATCCCAGCACTTTGGGAGGCCGAGGCGGGCGGATCACAAGGTCAGGAGATCGAGACCATCCTGGCTAACACGATGAAACCCCATCTCTACTAAAAATACAAAAAATTAGCCGGGCGTGGTGGCGGGCGCCTGTAGTCCCAGGTAGTCGGGAGGCTGAGGCAGGAGAATGGCGTGAATCCTGGAGGTGGAGCTTGCAGTGAGCCAAGATCGCGCCACTGCACTCCAGCCTGGGCGACAGAGCGAGACTCCGTCTCAAAAAAAATAAATAAATAAAATAAAAACATAAATAAATAAATAAATAAATAAATAAATAGTATAAAAATTAGCCGGGGTGGTGGCAGGCGCCTGTAATCCCAGCTACTTGGGAGGCTGAGGCAGGAGAATCGCTTGATCCCAGGAGACTGAGGTTGTAGTGAGCCGAGATTGTGCCACTGCACTCCAGCCTGGGTTTCAGAGTGAGACTCTGTCTCAAAAATAAGTAAATAAATAAATAAATACATAAAATAAAACTACTAGGAGAAAATGGGGAAATGCTCCAGGATATGGGTCTGGGGAAAGATTTTATGGCTAAGACCCCAAAATCATGGGCAACAAAAACGAAAACAGACAAATGGGAGTAGATTAAAGTAAAAAGCTTTTGCACAGCACAGAAGCAATCAACAATGAAGAGACAATATAGGAGAAAATATTTGCAAACGATTCATGTGACAAGCACTGTTTAGTTTTGAGGTGCAATGTCCATCTGCCCTACTGCAATTTAGGCCCCAAATGGGTGGGAAAGGGTCTGATTCCTTGCTCTTCCTCAGGTGCCCAGTGAAGCCCTGCTCAATTTCAATTCAATTAAAGTACAAAGCCAGCACCTCTGCTCCCTTTTACCAGTCCTGTTTGCTATTTCACTTCTCAGGCAGGTCCTGGGGCCCACCTGCACCCTCCTGGGCCTCATTCTCAGTCTTCTTGCCTTGGAGTTCCGTTGCTAAGGAGGACCACCAGGCTTGCATGTGGGTGGCCCACTGCCCTCTGAAGCATGGTCTTGCCACATAGGAACCACAGCCCTCACTATTACTCCATTTGTCCTTGCTTCACACAAGCCTGCCATCTTGCCGGGCGCGGTGGCTCAAGCCTGTAATCCCAGCACTTTGGGAGGCCGAGACGGG